GTCAAGAACACTCTTTGACTTTCATTTGAAGATTTATGCTCAGTTGAAGCCAATCAGTTGAAATGCAGCCGAATATTAGTACCAGAAGGAGGCGGTCGACCAGCTGACCATTCCTGGCAATTTGCCAATCAGCGTATCGATTTTCCACCAACTTCGCTCCAATGCGAAAGTGGTGAAGGAAAATTCGAACGCGTAGTCAGCCTAGCGAGGGGCGGAGCCCTGACGTCCCCCAATGTTCCTGCCCTAATTGTGCCCTATTCTAACGATTTTCGACCTCATTCCTGCACAAATGGTATCAGAGGGGGCTTCGAATTCAAACTACATGCAAATCTCCGGAACCACCTTTTCCTGACCTGTGCCTTTCAATCGCCAATCACCAGAACCCTTTTTTAAAGAAGAAAAAGTGCTCGTTTTCACAAATAGCACACATATGGGGTCTACTGTGGTGAATTACAGATTTCTTTCGGTCTATGTTGATCGGAATCTCAGAAATTTTGTATTCACGAAGAAACAAGCTGAAACGTTCACGCTCAGTTCTTTCCTTTGGTGGAGGCGTAAAGAGGACAGTCTCACACTAGAAGGTTTTATCAAGATTTGGTTACAAACACATATGCATTTGGAGCTATTCGCTCTGAAATTTTGTGTAATTAATTGAGATATGAAAATTACTGAAAAAAAACTCCATAAGGGTAGAATAAATCTAGGGTTCGAATCGCTCGAAAAAAAGTAGCACTCAAAGAAACTCTAAGAAGATTTCTTGAATTTTAGTGGTTAATCTTAACAAATCCCACCTGTAATTTGAACCTGCGAATCACCATTCCGCCAACCATCACACCAGCGGCTGCAGCGAAGATGACGACAGCTGAAGAGCTTTTGTGTTAATCATTTCAAGTGAAAGATTGCTTGAACTGTGAGACGTCTGAGCGTCGTTTACAAGCAGCAGCTCACACGATAAGTAAGAAGCTATCATGGGTGTAGTGCTGAGGAGTGTTTCGAGAATTTTCGGCATAAAAGCGGCAAATCCGTTGATGATAATCGATTCGAAGATACCGATGATAATGCACACGACAAAAGTTGGATTCCGGCAAATTTTCTAAAAAGGCGGATCTCACTGCTGACATCGAATACCTAGTACCATAATCCTGCATGCAATCAACTTACCATAACTATGACCGGAAGTTTTTTTGCATCCTTTTCGCACACGTTGCCATTTACCATATGGACCTAGAGTAACAGGGCTGTAAGAGGTCGACCTGTATAATTTTATTACTAGACTTCCTTTTTTCATTCACTCCTATTACTTCACTACCATGGGGCTAGTAAATGGTATTTTGGTACGGTATAGTAAATGGTAAATGGTATAAATGTAATAGTAAATTGTATAACCTTCGAGTTATAATTTAAGGAATAGGAATGCTCAAAGCAACTTCACACTTTTCAGTATTCGACTTGAGCAGTCATAAAGTCACGGATCACCTGATTGACGTCTTTGGCCCGATGGCGTTTCGCTTCTGGAAGTTCGTGAGCAAACCCCAAAATTGGGAACGCGATCAGAAGAGCACTGATGGACGAGGCTAGGAATCCAATCCACCACGCGCCGATCCAGCGAGGATCTGTCCGAGCTATCGGTGGGCTGGAAAGGTAGCTTATTACATAACTGTAGCGACTGCGTCTTACAACAAGCTAAAGTGCACGAGATATGGTGAGATTGCTTCTTTTCTCAATATGAGCTACGACTCTTTCCCTTCCAAATTCCATGTGTTGCTCTGGAGGTCAGCAACCAGGCAAACAAAACTGTAACACAAGCTGTTTTAGCAAAGAAATGGCTGCTTTCATAGTTCACGATTTGGCCCGCAAGCGACCGGGGGCGGCGCTTGCCCCTTTTTGAAACCTGGATCTTGGTCAATACCGCGGGACGAGTCCCCCGGTTGCTCGCTCGCTCGCGGGCCAAAACATGGACTATGAAAGCAGCCAATCGCTCACTTAGTGACTGAAGTGGTAAAGGAGATTTAGGTAAAGTTTGCAAGAATCCGGTCAATGAGGTGGAGGGGTGAATAGGGAAGGAATTATTAACTAGTAGTACAAATCCGCTAGGATGGAGGCAGCTCATTTTTCGCAAACTTTGCTCTTGGTAAGCCTCTACCGGAGTACCCCATGACTTTAGCCATGGAGTCACTCACCAGTTTACAAACTTTCAAGGACGCGTTCGCTTTTTTGAGACGTGCATCCAATACGTCTTCCCCGTTAACACGGCCTCGATTAGAATTGAAACTTCCAGCGGTGCTTGTATTTGTACGAAAAAGATTTCGCGTATCGAGAGGATAATGTTATTGATATTGCTGACGAAAAGCAGTGGAATAGCGCATGATAAAAGGGCAATACGCGAAATAAAACTCACTGATCGACTCTGTCGAAATCGTCGTAGATGTTAAGCAGATAGCCACCCACAAAGACACCAATTACTGGTCCAAATGATGTGAGTACGGCATGAGCCGCTGAAAATTCCAAGGAAATATGTCACTTGTTATATTATAAAGGTATAGATAATCATACATATTAAGAAGGGAAATAGAAAATATACATGAAGAAAAATAGATAACTGGTTCTTCACTATTACATACGGGAGACGGGCGTTAGGAACGATTTTGGGTAATCGATTCGCCGCACGCGGCTGTCGCGGACCACTCATTCGCCGTTATTACGTCTCTAGCGTTCTTCATACAACTCAATCGATATGCGATCATTATTTTATGCATAATTCTACTATAGGTACTTTTGTTCTTGTGTTTCTTACCTACTGCTGCCTCCTGCTACATTCCTTCGCGCGCGACGCCCTTCTCATCGCGACGCGACCATTTCGTTCCTAAGGCACAACCCCCTTACATTCAGTTCCTGCTGGATGAGAAAAGGAGCCCCTCTCATTCGAACTTATATTTTCCTTTGACTGTTTTTTTTTTCGCTGCAGTTCGGGGAAATAGTAAGAATGTGACTATGGGTTAGGCTTTAATCAACTAGTACGGGAGCCAGGCATTGAGTCAAATCTTGTATCATTATGGCCCGCGATTCGTACTGAGCAGGTCACGAAGTACATTGTCCTGTCATCTGCGCTCTCCTAATCTATGAATCCTTGCACAAATGCTAGAACACAGATGGAAACCTGCCATTATCATCATGTACAACATCTTGTCACCTTCACTTTCCCTTAACCCTCTGACTCTCGTTTTTATGTCTACTATTATCAACCTTTCAAAGCCTTTGCAGTGATACTCTTTTGGGAACAACCTTCACGTCAAAGTTTCGTTTTTTACTTTACAAGATTCCTTCTCGAAGTATCGTTCTCCATATCAGGATGAAGCCGAAGGTGACTCACCGAGATATACTGGGGAGGCTTTTTGGGTGACGTTCTCGTCAATGAATGTCGTTCCAATGGAGAACAGTGGCGTCGAGCCAACTCCATGCAGCGTCTGACCAAGAATGAATAGGAGGAAATATGGGTTCAAATAGGTGGAAAACGATTGTGCTTCACATGTTTCTTCTTTAAGATCCCTAAAGTATATACACTTTGAAATGCTGCATATTCACAATTCGTACAACTTTTTGAGATAGGAAGCTCTATGCAACACTAGCCTTCAAACTGTTGATTCGATAAATCTAATTGTTGGTTCGATAATGAAAAGCTATTCGCTATGGAATGGGGGTGCGCTTCGTTATGCGTGTCCGTCGAAACTAGATCACGCCGCAGCCGTCGCATGCGACGGGTCAGCCCGCGATACTTGACAGACGTCGCAGCTGTAAGCTGGGTATACGATTTGCGCTTTCTCCACGGTAGTCAGCCAAAGAGAATATAACATGAATAAATGCAAATCGTTCGCTCCACTCACACTTAGTGGTACTGTAATGTCATCTCGAGATCTCACAAGGGAAGGATCCCAAGTCGAAGTGGCCATTTAAAATGAGACCTATACTGCTAAATGTATTTTTTGATGCTGATTTCAAATCTGCATTCAAAAACTGCCAAACGATTCTCTGAACGTAGTTATGGAAGTGGTTCCCAGAGGGCGCTCAGCAGGGGAAGGCACAAAAGCCATGGTCGCCGTCAGCCTAGCAGTGGTGGCTTGGAGTGGAGGTAAGCGTGACGCTTCACAGGCACGGGACCAAGACGTAGTGCAGGACTTTTTCCTCCAAGGTGTAAAAAGCTTTTTATGTTAGCTTTACCGCCTTCGGCGACTTTTTGGTTGCTGGAGG